GCCGGGAGAGGTGACCGTGGCCGCCGCCGCCGCCGCGGGAGCGAGGGGCTCCGGCCGGAACAGAGTTGGCCCCGAGGACGCCGGGGGTCCGATGGACGGAGCCGGAGACGAGGTCGCCGAGGAGGTGGAGGTGGTGGTGCCGGAGGAAGAAGCAGACGTGGAGATCGGGGGTTGAGGGGGGACCAGCTGGGTCGGAGGGATCAAAGCCGCCGGCACTGCCATGGTCACATATAAGGGCAAACAGAAGCGGGAGAAGCGAGGGGGGAAAAGTTGCCACACACACACCCCCGGGGAGGGGACGGGGGAAAGAAGGGGGGAGAAGGAGCGCGGAGCGGGGCAACCACAGGCGCCGCAACTCCAGGAGGGGACGAGCAGCAGAGAGCGAGAGAAGGGAGAAGGAGGTGAGGCGAGGAAGCGCGGGCGCAGGAGGGGCGAGCGCGCGGCGCTCCGGAGAGAAACGCACGAAAGTGTCCCGCAAGTCGAAATGCGAGTCCTCTCCCGGGGCCGGGAGCCGGGCTGGTGTGGGGGGCGGGGGCGGGGAGGGTCGGCGGCGGTGCTGTGGGTCCCGCTCTAGCACAAAGTTAAGGATGAAGGTGGAAAGGAGGAGGACTGAGGGACTTGGGTTCTCCCCGGCAAGTACATTGATCAAAGATTGAGAGAGGAATGACAGAGAGAAAATGAGCTGAAAAGTGCAGGCTGCCGGCTGGACGAGTTGTTGTTGTCACACGGTGCAGAGGGGAGGAGCTCCGGAAACTTGAAATACCCTTTGAAGCCGCAAAAACCTCACTCACTAGTATTAACCCAAATTATCCAACCAGGAACTCGGAGCAGAGACTCCGAGAGCGCGAGACGCGAGCGAGGGGAGCGCGCGAGGGGAGGGGAGCGAGGGAGGGGGCGCGGAGAGTCTGGGAGAGGGGAGGCGAGGAGGAGCCGGGGACACCGAGGTGGCGAGCTGGGGAAAGAGAGACAGGACCGTGCACTTCTGCTCTGCTACTACCGTTAGATTGCACGCCCGATACTCGGTTTCTTCCGCGAGGACTCGTAATCCTCCCCCCTCGCCAAGCTTCTAAGCAGTCGCCTGACAATTTAACAGAGAGCCTGAGCGCTCTGAGTTCTTGTTAAAAGATTTAGGATGTATCTCCGCGCCTTTTTGCAATGAGATATAAATGAAAACACGTCCCTATTTCATGATCATTAAGAAATTGTTTTGAGGAAAATTGACATGTAAGCAAACCGTAATGGTTTTTTTTTTTTTTAATGCATTTGATTTTTTTCTCTATTGTGTGTATAATGATGTTGAGAATTTCAGGACAGTTATCAAGTTGTGGGAAGAAAGTCAGTCTGAAATCGCTTAAGAATAACGACGTGCACTGAACTGAATTCCTTATATCCTGATAGACAGTGGAAATAAATGCATGCCAGGAGCTGAATTGTTCAGAATAACTTCACATTCACCCTAAAGCCAGGTCAGAAACATTTGTTCTTCCTAAAAAGATTCAGAAAACAGCATCCTTAAAGATTTGGAACGTAGAACAAAATAACACCCTGATGTTTCTTACCCAAAACTGTAAAATTAAGGCACCTGTCTTGAACAGTAACCAACTGTCCCCATATCGCTTAAGACCCAAGACTAGCCGCTTTTTTCATATTTGAAAAGTATCAAAATATTTTGAGAAAGTTCTTTTCAGTTTGTCAGTAATGCTGTTTTGTAAATAATGAGGAGAACAAAACCTAAGCTCACTGCTTGAGTTGGAAAGGCAGAAAGGGTAGCTAACCTTGCAAACATCATTAGGCAGTGTATGGAGAAGGACTCTCGTCCTTTTCTTCCTCTCCCTTTTTCTTCCCTTTTCTAACTTGTTGCATGGAGCTATTTACTCAAGGATTTTTGACCAACATAGGCTTTCAGCATAGGTCACGTCTGTTTGCTGCTTATATCTCTAGGAATCTTAAATAGTTAGGCTTTGAACCTGTCTACACACGTCCAGTGACTCCACAAGATATGAAACAATGTGATGGCATTTGACAGATTTTAAAAATAAACTATTAGTAGCAGGTTCACAGTGTTGAGAAATCTGGCATTTTGGTGCTGAAATTATTATCACTTTTCTCTTTATCATTTTAATCCTTTAAACTCTTTGAAGTTTAGTGTCAAAAAGTGCAGGAACTGTCTACAGAGAAATGTGACACTACTGAACTAAACAGTCTAAAGTTTATGCTAAACTTTTGAGGGCGTAGCAATTATACCAAGAGGTTTCCCTGATTTATAAGTATTAAGAAAACTGTTGCAGAAAAGTAGATAAACTTCTACGAGGATAGCTAAAGTTTACACAGCTGTTTGGCCTAGGTATCCAATGCATTTTAATATTTTCACAAATTATTTCAACTAATTTTTGTTCCTTTAATCAGTCCTCAATTAAATGTAGAAATTCAGTGTACATCATATACATCAAAACACTTCAAGTGTTTGTACATGTATTAGAATAATATATAACAGGTTTTTTTTTTTCAGAATGCCAGATTACTATGCTAATGAAGGCAAGGGAAGAAGAAAGTGTTAAACTATGAAAAACTAATTTTGGAACTGCATACTTAGCTTTAATAAACAGATAGGGTTTTAAAATGCTAAATTACATATCCCTGTTTAAAAATTTTAGTCACACAAGTGGAAAAAAATGGCAGTCAAATGTTAGAAATCTGCCCTTACCCTTCTAATATCTCACATTTCCTTAAACTATCAGTCATCCAAAACCTGTGACACTCTGAAGCCACAGGCAGGAAGCAGTGGTAGTAGACCAAGACATAACCCCAATCCTGTTACGAAGCCATCTCCATTTTTTTTTTCCTGCTACAGGGAACCCAATACAGTGAGCTATGCCTTATTTTGAAGCAGGGCTTGGTGGCATTTGTCCCACTGAAATGGGAGTCCAAGCCCCCAACCCCACCTCCTGCACCTCAAGTCGCTAAGCCATTTCAAGAAACTATCACTCCTTTGATCAAACAATAGGATTAGGAAAGTCATATAATGCAAATTAAAATATGTAGGAAAGAAAAGCCTCAAAAAATGTGAAACATTCTTTTTTATCTTTTTTTTCTGAGAAATGTTACCAGTGATGAAGCCAAAGAGTATTTAACAGCAGATAAATCAACTTAAGAGATAGTTCGAATTCTCACTCGATTACATCTTTAGCTTCAGAGCTTTTGTCTTGTTTGTTTATTGTTTTACATCGCTTGTTGTTTCACGTCCTCTCCATCTCATCTTCCCCAACCGTCACTCAATTTGCATGAGCAAAACTCAAAGTACTGTAACTGATATTAGAAAATTCTCCTTGTGTTTTGTGAAGACGTATTGTGCTGAAATCAATAAGACTGTTTAAAATTCAAAGACCTGCAAATCGTTCTGTTTGTCCTTTGATAGGGCCTGTGCTGATTAAAATGCTACCAAGAAAGCTTAATTGCTGCACTAATTAAGAAGTCTTTAATTTCTTTCCTAGGATATCGTTTGAAGCTTAGCTTGTACCAGTTCAGGGAAGGTATTTTCTTCCCTCCTCCTGCCCTCTTCTGGCCCCTCCCCTTCTTTCCTCTCTTGTCCCTTCCCCCCCTAGACAAGATCCACTACGAATGAGAACTAATACAGAGTGGTCGCAGGTCTCATCATCTATTACTTAACAAAAATCGGCACGGGATGCAGAGTTCAGTGCAGTATGAAATGCAGTTTTAAGAAGAGCTGCAAGGTTGCAGGAGCCAGTAGGAAAATACAAAGTAGCTATTGCAGCCAAAGTCCCGGTGAATACCTGGATGATAACAGGCACATTAGCCCGATGATGAGGGCATCCAATTTGGTTAAAAAAGGCAGTGACAAGGAAATGAAACAGGGACACATAAAAGCATACTTTCAAAACCTGTGGTTTTTTAAAAAAAGAAGAATAAATCTGTAGAAAGATGGACTTATAGTTGGGAATTGGTGAGTATCATTTTCTTTCATGAGTATAAAAACGAATTCTGTAGGGATTTATGTTTGACCCTTTTATAACTCAGGGAGACATAGCACTGTATTACATCTGTGCCATCCTTATCTATTGACCTATTTTATTCACTGATTTCTCAAGTGGGGAAACTGACTACATGATTTCACAAAGCTTTCTCTGTAATCAATAGACATTTTTTAGGTTTATTTATGCTGCATTATAATTCTGGTAAATGACTGCAAAGCAGAAGATTGTAACAAAGATACAAATATTGACAAATCCAGAAGTGACGTCTTCACATCTTCAGAGTTTCAATAGAGCAATTGACAGTTATTTTTTAAAAATGAAAATGCATATTTCACAGAATATAAGAACTAAAATGATTAAAGGAGAGGTATATTTGGATGCATTCCTTTAATATCTCAAATATTCCTGAAAGCTGTGCCTATCCTCTTTTTATGGCATCACTAAGTGAAACAGAAATAGTTTGGGCATAACCAGAAAGAGCAGTGAGAAGAAATCTTGGCTATTTTATTCAGTTAATTTTTCCCAAGTACTACTTGAAGCACGCACAGAAAAATACAGACGTGTATTCCACATATATATGGAATGCCTTTCAGTGACAGGACAAGGAGATAACATGCTTAATAGATTCAAAGGAAGATTTACCATTCTGAGCACGACGTCACTCTAATTATGTTTACTCTAATTGAAAGCAAGGTTTTTTGGAATCTGAAATTACCTTCAGAATTTTTTTTTAAATAATGCAAGTGGATCAAATGTTGATTCACAAGCATTTCAATCTTTCAAAATGTATTGGAAAATTAAATGAAAAGTAGAGTTTGGTACAAACAATGCCCCAGGGCAAAAAACAACTAACACTAGATTTTCCAGTCCAGCCATAACACAAATCAATTTGAACACACTTCTATGGCCAGACTGCCAGATTGTTATGACTGCTAATTCACTCAATCAAAGAGTGCATTAGCACACCCGGCACAAATAGCCTTAACAATAGAGTGCCTTTCTCAACAATTCCAAGATCTATCACAATGGGGAAGTAAAGAGGAAGATCATTTTTACATCTGCATATTTACTAATGGATTTGTTGCCTGCATAGAAATAAAAATGACTAAGATAAACTTCAGGCATAGGTTTATTAAAGAGCTATCAAAGTTTGGCAAATCTCGAAAGGTAGCAGGGTACCAGAAGTTCACTGACTTTGTTAAACGTTTCTCAGGAGAGAGTCCAAAATTGATGTTTGCACTTCAGTAGTAAATCATTGAAGATGGAGAAATTATGCCAAGTAACTCTCTTAAGCCTTTTTAACTCAGATCCATGGCCTCACCAATCAGCTCGGCAGATAAACCTCAACTACTTTAAGCACAGACTTCCCAACTTTCCATTTTTCAGCCTCTCTGTTCCCCATTTGTTTTCCCCAACTTCTGACTGGTGCTTGCTCTCACATCCTTAGTCTCCTTTTTTCTAACTCCCTCCCTTTTC